TTAAGGTACCCACCCCCCCATTTCCGCTAGTGCATCAGTTGTAAATTTTGCGAACTTACAACGCTAAAATTCGTGGTTTGATTCTTTGCGGTGAACGGAGCATAGTTGGCCCATGTGTAGCTTTGCTCTCAAAGAATTCGATGTTGTTGTTTTTTCTTTAAAAAAAGGACCCTTGCAGAATCGTTCAACACTTTGCCCGCGTGCAAGTTAGAGGAGCATAACACAAGTGTTATATATGTAAAAAAATAAATTTAGATTTTCTAAAACAAAATATGAAAATCTGTACACCAACGTGTTAGGCTACGAATCGAATGGTCCGGGCTTTAAGACTTGGTTTGTTTTGAATTTCACGCAAAGCTACACGTGGGCTATCTCCGCTAGCCGTCCCTAATTTAGTAGTGTAAGACTAGAGGGAAGGCAAGCTAGTCATCATCACCCAACTGCCAACTCTTGGGCTACTCTTTTACCAAGTGGGATTGATCGCCACATTATAACGCCCCCACGGCTGAAAGAGCGAGCATGTTTGATGGGAGGGGGATTCGAGTGCCCTAATCACCTGGCCATACCAGGCCACCGTGTCATCAGATAAAGAAGCATACAAATTGTTCATTATTATCAACTTCATAAACTTCTGACATGTTAATACTGCTAGAAATACTCCATTACGTATGAATGCATATCCACGTATACTAAGTTAATTTTGAACAACTTTTTTATTTTACCCACTAGGTGGAGTTCGATGACGTCATTGCCGAACCACAAGGCGCCTACTCTGTCGACTGCGTGTGGAAGGTCGCCTACAAGATTTTCACCGGAACCAAGAATTGTTGTTACAAGTTCCTTACCATCCTCTTCGCCTTCCCCATTGCCTTTGCAGTTGGATGCAGTTTTGCTATTATGTCGTTCCAGCACATCTGGTGTATTGGCCAGCTATACGTCATTTCCGGATTAGCTGCCACGTCGTTCGGCTGTATGTTCGCACATGTCTTGATTCCTGTTTGGCACCCTGTTGCAACGACATGGGCCTGTTTTTCAGTAGAATTCGGATCGCTAGAGGCCCTGGAACCGAAGATCAAGTTCTTTAATTGTCAAGTTAACCCTTTACCAAAAACACGGTTCTGACCAGTTCAGCTGAATAATACAGAAAACAAAACTTCCTCATTCTTACTAGAAACTAGAGATGTTGCAGATAAACCATCGTTATTTTATCATGTAAATATTAATTTTGTTGTTATTATTTTATTTGGTTCTTTTTCATTTAGTTTTGCGTGGTAATGTCTCGTTAAGTAAATACATAATAACATCTTTTCAATAACATAAATGAAGCTAGCTAGCATGATTTTTACCGTTCTGCTTATGTAAACCTAAACTTTTATACCTCGATATCTTAACGAAGTCAAACAACATTCTTGGACAGTACACCGTGTCTAGAAACAAAAACATTCTAACTTATCTGAGTCTCTTACTTTAACTGTTGCTGTTTACGTTTAACACTATAACACACAGTATCTCTTCAGAGGACTTCAAAGGACAAATTCCTTGGATGATTATATCAGCTATACTTCAAAATGTAAGACTAAAATTTACGACTGAGGACTTTTCTTCAAAAAATATGGACATGGGTGTTTTCGTATGGTACTTTTCAATTGCATATATAAAAAATATTCTTTTGTTTATTTTTATATAAAAAAAAGTACAAAATGAAATCCAGCTTCACATCAGTAGCAACTTCTTCCAATTTTGATACTTTCGCATGGATAAAACAGTTTACTGTTACTTTCAATGTGGTACTTTAAACTTTGGAATACTTCGAATAATTACACTTTTTACTTCTTACTTTAATCTAAATACTTACCAAGAATACCTAAAAGATTACTAAACATTCTTCGTTATCTTCTATTAGAAACCTGGACAACTATTTAATTACGTGTTTTTAAAAATCAATGAGATTTTAGGGAGAATTGATTAATTGACGCAATCGAAAACTTTTTCTTTAAATTTCTTCTATTTTTTACTCTATTTATATAAGCTCTCAAAGAAAAGGGTAAATTCATTATCAATAACGTATTTATATCACTTGCTTTATGTAATTCTTATAAGAAGTTATTTGTAATTTATAAATACAAAATTTGCACAATGCGAGTGAATAAACATCGGGTTTCGATACCCTCAGTGGGCAGAGCACAACTAGCCCATTGTACATTGGTGTGTTCTTTGTACACAAAAATATTTATTGAATGTTCCCGACTCTGTTTGTTCAGTCATGCTGTGTTAGTTAAACAAACGGGACTGGAAATCTCGTAAAATTAAAAAGTCTGTTCGTTCTGTTGGAGAACCTAGAGGTCCTAATTAGATAAATTTTGGAAACAAAGAAAAAGTCATAATGAACAATACAAGATCCGTAACTTTTGACATATTTAAACAAAGCTAATGGAGTGGTATATTTCATAAAGATGTTGTCTAAAATAATATTTTCCTTACACTCTTGGGAGAACGTTATTCAGCACAGGTATCACCCTTTAGTATTATACGTATTAATTACACTCCACTGTTTATTACTGATATAAGTTTGAATAAAGATAGTTTATCATTAATGGTGATAGAATTTGGCATCATTACAAGTAATGGTTTCTCGTCTCTTACGAGGAGACTTTTATACGACAAAGATTCTAAAGTTGTCATATTTGTTTATTTCTTTATTTGATACGATGCATTAGAAAACAACTAAAATTAGAAGTTTAGATGAAGACATAGAATTATATTTCAGATGTCTACTTCCTCCGTAGCTTTGTATATGTGATCGTTCATATATGCTTGTGTAATTTTTTTTAATCTTTGTCTCGTGTATAAAATAGTAATAGAAAATAGGGAATTCTGTTTAACACTATACTTTGAAGTCATTTTTACATGTATGTCTGTTTGTTTACCAAACAGATCTTAGCCCTATATATTCAGTATCTTGTTGACAATACCTTGTTTAAAACGTTAGAGAAATCAGCTAATCCGTCATTTCTAAACGACCTTATCTCTGCTTATGATATACAATTTATGTACTTTAAGATACTGTAGCTATAAGTGTTAACTAATGCTTTAGCTGGTATATATATCGGTATGCATGTATATATATTTAAAGAAGATATTTTTTTACCTTTAAGGTAGCTTTATTCTCCTTATCTTGTATCTCTACTCCAATTTTATTTTTCATTTTTTTTATCCTTTCCTCGCTCTCTCCTATTCCCCGTTAACGTCTTTCCATTCTCACACTCTAATAAATATTTTTTCCACTGCATACTCATTAGCTTTAGATCTCTCTTTCTCCTATACACATCACAGCTTAGAAATACTTCTCCTATGCTTTTCTTTTTTAGCTTTGCAAGTCTTTATGTTTTTGAATTATTGGCTTTTGGGGTGTATCTTTAATAGATTCTTCAGTTTTAAACGTGTTCCTCTTATAAATGATATAGCGTTAAATCTCTTACTACTGTACGTTCTCCGTCTTTAAGTCTCTTTCTCCTACTCTGTGTCTAGCTTTAAGTGTTTCTCCTACCTCTCTAGCTTTAATTATCCTTCACGTACATTTTCTTTAGTTTTAATCTCTCTTCCTTCTACAGTCTATCTAGCTTTAACTTATTCTTCTGTAGAAGAATAGTCAACTATTCGAAAGCGCTCGAGTTTTGGGTCTCGTTTTGAAATTATCATAGCTTTACGTTTATTATTTTTTATCCTTTATCCTTCTTTAAATTCTTTTTATACACCCTTTCGAATCTTAAAGTTCCTTTTTCTACAATATTTAACTTTATGCTTCTTGTTCTATCTATCTCTCTCTCTCTCTAGCTTTAATTTCTACTTTCTTCTACACTCCTTCTAGCTTTAACTTTCTTTCTCCTACATTCTTTAACTTCAACTCTCTTTTTTTTCTACACAACCTCCCTCTCTCTTTCTCTCGCTTTAATGTTTTTTTTCTTATCATTTTTCACCATTTTAATACATTTTGTTGCTGTATATAGTTTCAGGTTAGTTTTTCTATCATCTCAAATTAATTAATAATCTAAAAAAAAATGAATAAAAAACAAGGACTAGCTGAACGCCAAACACAACTAAAAGTATCCAATTTTACCCAAAAAATTCTGAATAAAAATAACATTAATTTGTCTTCAAAATTATATTTCTGTAATATGTTTTCCTATTGTTCAGTTTATAAAAAACATATTTTTGCGAATGGTTGCTAACGCAGAGAAAATTAAACCTTTTTGCGCAAATAGTGTTGACAAAACGAAAAATTTGATGTTCTACTAAGCTGTAGTCATCCTTGAACATGGAAACGTTTTCTCTAACGTGAAGAAAACCATTGTTCTTTACTTTTGGTTCGGCACGATTTTGATGAAACTCAAACATATAATAATAATAATTCACGAAAATATATCTTTGTGAAGCATGCAGTGACTTAATGTTATAAGTAGCATTGGGCCATTTTATCTAGAAATATTAATGAAAATTTTTTAAATAATTTTCCTGTCATCTACTATACGTCTACTAAATAAATTGTCTCTAATTCGAAAAATAAACAGTTAGGGTATTTGTGTATGTCAAATGATAGAATGATATTATCGCTTTTCGTAACAAATCTAATCAGTGCATTTCATTAGATGATAAATATATTGTTTGCTCTAAAATTTACTTTCTAAACTTGATTTTACCTTAAAACCCCAAAAAAATAAGTCATCTGAAATGCATTATATAATTTGAAAGTAAAACAGATCTCTACTTATGTGAAAAGTAGAATTGACCTCGTAATATAAGTGACGAACACTTAGTTAGATCAAAATTCTGTTCGGGTAGGTTTTTACTTATAAGACTGACTTTATTGTATGTTTTTCACAATAATTTTTTCAAAAAAAATTACCATCTTTTTAAGATTCTAGAAAAGTCAAGATAATTTAAACGTAAAGATAGTGTCGTATTAATAATATTAACTAACTAATTAACTGGGTATTTTAAAAGATAAATTAGTTTATAGCGAAAGCGCAGGTATCTTTAAATAAAGTTATTTAACCTAATCAAATCACGAAAAGGCTATTTTTCATAATCGCTATTATAGTTTGTAGTTGGTTACTGTTTTGTAGCTAGTTGAAAGTATAGATGCCTTGAAAGTTGTTGCAAAAAATTTCCTTCAATTATCAATTAAAGGGTGTTGAATGTTCGTCATTTAATGGTTTGTAATAATTCATTTCTCGTGACGTGGACTTAACAATTTTGTCACTAAGCAGTTGTGTTTGAATAGTTAGTAACGAAAAGCAAATGTAATTAGAAATAATAACTTTTAGAATAAAGAAAAAGACAGTAGATATTCAACACATTACACACACGTTTTTTTGTGATACACTGCACAATTGTGTATTTTACACACTTGAAATGTAATTATTGGTTGTTTTAGAAGTGAAATGTAATAAAATAGTTCCACAAACTGCGTTGTTGTTGATATAATATTCCTAAATTAAAACACAAGACTTCATTTTGTTTCATGCTCTAAAATAGTCTTTTTCTGATGAATGTCATAAGAATAAATCATGACCACTTCCTGTGTGACAACGTTCTATATATATCCATTACATGATAGCGTTTGTACTTTGCAGAAGATATAAGAGTTATTTTACATCTTGCATGACCACTTCCTGTGTGACAAAGTTCTATATATCCATTACATGATAGCGTTTGTACTTTGCAGAAGATATAAGAGTTATTTTACATCTTGCATGACCACTTCCTGTGTGACAAAGTTCTATATATCCATTACATGATAGCGTTTGTACTTTGCAGAAGATATGAGAGTTATTTTACACCTTGCGCGCGTATTATTTTACATACGAAACGTTCCCAAGACAAAGCCTATTAGTCAGGAAAATATCCCCGTACTAAATGTTAAAACTATCCTTGCAAAATTTTTTAAAATTGCTATTCTTTTCATCACAATTTATTTTTCCGGATTTCAGCGAATATCTGTACGATGACTGTCTGCGCAAGCTATCCCTAATTTAGAACTGATAGACTAGATGGAAAGCAGTAAGTGAGCACCACCCACCGCCAACTTTAGGTCTGCTCTAAATGAATAATGTAATTTCACC